TTTAATATTGAAGCACAAGTGCACAGCACAGTAGAGCTTCACAGACTAAGTATCAAATGAGGTCTACGGTAATGGAGGGCTGCCCATGCCTCAGACGATTTATCCTCTTGTTAGGAGCCTATTAATGGATCTCAACTACCTTATTACAAGCAACGACTTTCTAGCATTATTTACATCGGGACCTGTCGATTCCAACAAAATGCGAACTTATATTAAAGCGAGGAAATACAAGATGTAGCCACAATTCAACTGACCAATGCGCATTTAGTATTTGTTTGCGACCGAGGTATCGAGGTAACTGGATACCAATCAAAAGTTAAAACTAGCAAGTGCTGTTGGGATATGTAATTAACAAAATGGCGCCGGGTTCAACTTGTAGTATTACTGAAAAAATGGCCGTTGTCTCATATCACTGAACGCCAAAATATGATCAAAAACTAATAAGCTTCTAAGGTTGAAAACGAAAACAGGCCGACTTGTTGATGTTGTGCGGACACTATCTGCGGAAAGATGTTCCTTGCCACAGTGAAGTTTGTGCAGTTTGGGAACAAGGTAAGTAAGCGTTTGAAAGCAATGGAAGCTACAGCCGATCTTTGGAAGTTGTTATCTTAGTTACAGCATACTATAGTTCAGTATCACACACTTTAATTTATTTTGTTATTTAGGCAACGGAACTTTGCTTTGTAAATCACTGACTCATTATGTTGTTCCTGATTGCCAGGTAAGTTGAGTTTGTTTACCGCACTTCGACCGATCTTGGCCCAAGGGGTCCGTGTGTCATTCGTCGGTTCAATTTTCTTTTAAAATTGAAAATTGAAAATTGATGTCAATTTTTTGATTTTCGTTATTTGTTATCATAAAAAATACGAAAGTGCTAATCGAAAATTTTTGACTTTTTTTTCCTTTTGATAGAATATTGAAACGCAACTTATATTTTTAATTTAATCCTGTCAACAATAAAGGGAAAAATGAAACAGTGCGGCAATTTTGCTTTTCCGACAATGTTGCAGTCTGTGGCATGGCTTAGTTTTTCTGTTTTCAGTGGCAGTGTAAAAATTGAAAATTGATTGTAATTTTCAATTTTGTTTTTCAGCCAAAACACTCAAAATAGTTGACAAAACTACCCAAGGGGGAGGGGGAGGGGTCCATTTGCACGGTAACTTTTGCCCCCAGCACCCTCTCCCCATGGTCAGGTCCGCTTCCTTGCTTTAAGGGTTGGGAATGAAGTGAGAGTTTAGCTGTCTTTTTAGTGGTCTTTCATGGTGTTTTGGAGTGTCTTCCTCAGTTCTGTCCATTACAGCGAGCAGCCAGTCTTTGGACGTTAGCTAAGAAGTTAGAAAGATCTTAGACTTCGTATTGGAGCATATTGGTGCACGAAAAAAATGAGCCTTGACACAAGCCTGCAAATCCACGCAAAAAGCTGAAAAACTATTTTGAACTCTGAAGGGTGCACATATAGATGGCTATACAAACAAAGAAGTGAAGGTAGAAAAAAGAAGAAAATAGTGAACAACAAGCACTTAAGTTTAATAAACTTATACTTACCCGAGCAACAATGTCTCTAGTGCACTGCTCAAGCTCATCATTTCTCAAAACAAAACCTCCTAACTGACCTCAAAATGAACCCTTTCTTGTCGGGAAATCTTTCTTTTGGCAATAAGCTCACCTTGGAGTGTGTTTTTCTTTGAGTTATTACAAGATCCTTAATGTACTCAGCACTGAAGTTGTTCATGTTTGGAAGAGTGACTGTGTGGTAAATATGAATTTCCACTCACTCCTTTCCAGAGAAGTGTAGTCTGGGAGGGGAGGGAGGGGGACAGGGGCAAAAAAAAATAACTGTGCAAATGTACACCCTCCCTCTTGAGTAGTTCTGTTAACGATTTTGAGTGTTTTGGCTGAAAAAAAAATTGAAAATTGATTGCAATTTTCAATTTTCAATTTTTCTAAGCCATGCCTAGGCTGCAACATAGTCGGAAAAGCAAAATTGCCACTCAGTTTCATTTTTCTCTCTATTGTTGACAGGATTAAAGTAGAAATATGTTATGTTTCAATATTCTATCAAAAGGAAAAAAAGTCAAAAATTTTGGATTGGGCACTTTCATATTTTTGTGATAAAAAGTAATGAAAATCAAAAATTGACATCAATTTTCAATTTTTGATTTTAAACAAAAATTGAATGGATGAATGACACACAAACCCTAAGGCCTATTACACTTGTGCAGAGTAAAACTTTCAGCAATATTTCCTTACAACACTATACTTCATTGTGCAAACAGTTCTTTGACAAAAAAAATAATGGCAAAAGCAATAGATTGCATTTGAAACCAAGGCTTTGTAGCAGTTTGTAGTTGACTGTAGTATGGAGTTACACCTTTCAAACCTGTAGCCAGCTTAGCCAGAAAATTACTTGTGGTGGTTTAAGTATTATGCCCTGACATATCACATGAACCTTCCAAAGTGATGTTTTTCTTGAGGATAAAATTTTTTTCCTGATCATCCATCAAAGGCGATTCTACGGTGTGAAATGGATGGTAAGAAAGAAAAAAAATCACAAATGCTTTGCAAATGGCCATGCTCCGTGAACAGGCACTGGGCATTTTATGAAGTTTGATTTGGAGTTCAAATTGATATCTCTAGATCCTCAGGGATTTTAGTTTGCAAGGATCTACTAATAGTGAATTACAGACACTGATGTGATGGTTGGACAATGAAGGCATTTAAGTTTTGAATTTAAAAAAATGAAAAATTAATAGTTGTGTCAGGACAAGAACAACACACAATTAAGCCAAATTATGTGGTTAATTTCCTTGAGCTGATTCTTTGGTGTTTTATTTCAGGTTTCAAGGCTGTTTCTTGAAACATTTGAGAGTGCAGAACTTCAAGGAGTAATTTTCTTTGAAACAGTGGTTAATTATGTAAGAACAGAACGCCTTTTTGTGTATTTTGCAGAATGTAGATGGATACTTTATAGCAGATAGATGTTTCATTTTCAAAATCAATGCTTAAAGGTATAATTAAACATCACACATAAGAACAAGCAAGTACAACATTTGATGATGTGATTTCTTTATGACATATTTTATTGTCTTATCATGAGTAAATGTCACTTTTAGTTTGCCAACTTTATAGCACTGAGCTAAAAAGGCCAAGAACACATTTACTTCTAGTTATGAGTGGATATTCCTTTAGCATATAAGTCAATCAATGCACTTGTACATGAAGCACTTCTGTAAATATTTTCATTAAAACATTCAATGATCTAACGGGAAGTATTATTCATTCTCATCGACGATTCATTCATGTACGAAGATTTACCTCTGTTACCTCTGTAAACCGCGAGGAAAGTAATTGTGAGTAAATTCAAATTTTTTTTATTTTGAAGTTGTGAGAATTTACTCGTTTATTTGCTGCAATGGCGTCTGTAAATCTGGTGTTTCCTCCACAAAAACTTAAATTGAATGGTACACTCCAACGAGACACAAGGGGATTTATTGGGGCCTTTTCTCGATAAATTCCTTCAGTTTCTGTTGTGCAATTTACAGTACAATTGTCCAAATTGAACGGACTCGGAAAGACTCACCGATAGCGTAGATTTGTTGTAGAACTGAATTTTTTAAACTTCGCTCGCTCTTTCACTACGAACAAATTGTTTGAGAAAATTCAGATATTAAATAATGAGAAATACCTCACATTTTAACTTTCTAAGTACTCTTTCTGAACGATTAAAATAATTGCAGACGGTTTTTAGGCCGTTTGTCAACCAACGTAATGGCACTATTGCTTAAACATATTCATTCTGAAACCAATATTTTTCTGTCAAGCAAAGTGATATGAGAGAGAGAAAAGAGAGGATTCATAAGTTATTTTATTGAGGTAGTGACCGACGTGTTTTCTTGAAAATACTGCTCAGCCGGAAAAGGGAGATATATTTATGAAAAATGGCAACCAAATTTGGGATGTACTCGGCGATTCACGAAAGCGTAGCCATGGCCCGTGGGCAGAGATAGGAAAATACTGACCGGGTTAGGAACCAATCGGATTGTAGGATTCGTTACCGTGCCCTCTAAAAATGAAAAATGAAAGCAGTGGGCTTTTCCTCTTAGTTATCCAAAGACTCAAGCGAACAACGGCACATAAGGTGAAACCTTCGTTTGTGCTTCGTTCAAAGTGACTGAAAATAATAAACTTCACGAGGGATGTACTTCTGGTTATTTCAAGTTTTTTTTGCAGTATAGTTATGGTGTTCGTGATGCGAACTGACAAGGAAAATCTCCCTTCCAGGGAAAAGGAAAAGGAAAACACATCAGTCTGTAAAACGCTGTATCGAGTATATCAAAGCTTCTTACTCTTAGTCATTGACTCTTTCTCAAGACACCTGTTTGATGATTTTTGCATGAGGCATAACGTTCAAAGGGAATTGATAGGCACAGAAGTTGGATCTTACACTGGTACCAAGGGCGGGCTTAACAACTCACATACGCGGCGTGTATCATTTTCCTCTTCCAGTCTGAAATTATTTACCCCCTTCTCCTATTTTAAGTTAAGATCTCACTATAGAGACGGAATTAAAACACTTAAAGAAAAATGCTTTAACTCTGAAATCCTCCGCAGAGTTCATGACGTAATGGTGTAAATCGCTATGATGTTTCTATTGAAAGTAAAAACCACGAACCTTGACTGACTGGGAAGAATCATGCGATTATTATAAACTAACATTGTGTTGCAATTGATGGCCTTGGTTTTGAGTGGTCAAATTCATCTGAGGCTAGGCCAGATAGGCCAATAGGGCCAATAGGGCCAGATAACTACATCATCACCTCGAACAAAAAATCACCATAAGTTTATTAAATTTCTATTGGATATTTCAATAAAAAATGCCATCGCATTATATGTTTAGAAGATCCAGTTACGGCATAGTACAAATGTTTTCATTCAAAATATCTATGAAAATAAAGGCAGTACACTGTTTTCATTTTCATTTTTTTTTAACTAGGAGAACACTAATGCCATGATGATAGGGTTTCAACTCTTCCGAAGTAAAGATTTGGAAGCGAGCAGACGACCCACTGTTCCAGCGGATTTTCGTCTTTGAATCGACTGAACTGAATGGCCTCTTGTTTCTTTTTCAAGGCCTCCAGGTTTGTTTGACAGGATGACTTCTGCCAGTAAAGGTTTGTCTCATTGTCGTGAAGAAGACTGTAAAAAGAGATAAAATATATTTACAGCTTGAAATAATTTTTTTCCTGATTTGCCCCATTTGAGAGCACTAACTTTCACGTTTCTACCCCTCCCTCCATACTTGCCGATCTCCAAACACTCTATGCACTGACCAAGGACTATTATAGAATACCTCTGATAAGTCGAGAACTCGCAATCTTTTGGTATGAAGAATTACAACTTTTGTATTTAACTTTTTAATAGCGCCATAGTGTACGGTTATTTAACAGCGTTATAATTACTGGTAGTTGTCATCCAGAAAATCACATCTATTTTCTGTAACATTCAGAGCAACTTGCTCAAAGAAAAGCTTTCGATCCAAAGCTTCAATTTCTTTCATCATTTCAGTGGCTGCTCGATATTTCTGTGTTCCAGGCCCTGCGTTAGGGGCGATGCGTGACCTTTGAAAGGCCTCAAGTAATCTACATAAAATGTCAAAAGAGAAAGAACAAGAATAATTAGCCCACACAAGTAACAATAACAGTGAATCGCACTAGTAAGTGCTAATTTTAGGTTTACAAGAGAAGACTTTGAAGAAAAGAAAGAGCTAAGAAAAGGTCTCAGATAGAACAAATTATCCGCCTTCTTTGCGTCTACCAAGAGCAAGAAATACTGGTCCCTCTCTTTTTGTCGGAATAACCCAGATGAAGCCCTCCTAGCTAAAGACATTTACACAACTAGAGCATATGGACTCTCTACTCGTTTTTTACGATTAGGTATAAAAGGGAGAATGTCAAAGAAAAGAAGTTTAATCGAGAAAGAATCGGCCACCCCAGCAAACATTACTCGAATGAACTTACTCATTTGCACACTGAAGTTGTTCCTGGAGACAAGCTATGTGTTCTTGTGCTTCTTTCAGTTGCTCTCTCAGTTTCCTACAGAAAAAAGTATACAAATTTGAACAAGATAGACGATGTAATCAATGTCACCATGGAAAACAAAATCGAGTCGCAAGAGCATCTGAATATTTTCCTCCAAGCGGAAGAAAAATGTTTACTCACCTCTTATATTCTTTCTTATCTCTTCTCTTTGATTTGTATGAACTTAAAGCAGATCCCATTTTTAGCTTTTGCTGGGTTGTATCTTAACAAAGTTTACGCGCTTTGAAATATAAGTCTCTCTGGACAGTATTTTCATGCGAATGGAGTGCTCCAGATTGTGACATAACAAAAGAGATTCAAGCGCGCGCGAGATTTGATAAACCAATCAGGTTTCATTTCAGGCACTGTCATTTAAGCGCGAGCGAATTTATAATAACGGCAATATTTTTCGTTAGCTTTGTGTCAAAATGACGACCCTTGATTGATATTTAATAAGTAAAAAAGAGTTATATCTTTCAAACCTCTGGTCCGCTTACTTTGGCCACATGCTCGTAAATTACGAGAAGTGCCTTAAGTAAAAAAAGATTAGGGCCTTTCAGTGGTAACTGAAAAAAAAAACACGATAACGAAAATAATAGGTTTAAAAGTGCGTTTCAACAACCAGGTATATCAAAATATGAACTAGGTAACATTTAATATTGAAGCACAAGTGCGCAGCACAGTAGAACTTCACAGACTAAGTATCAAATGAGGTCTACGGTAATGGAGGGCTGCCCATGCCTCAGACGATTTATCCACTTGTTAAGAGCCTTTTAATGGATCTCAACTACATTATTACAAGCAACGACTTTGTAAAAATTATTTTCATCGGAACCTGGCGATTCCAACAAAATGCGAACTTATATTAAAGCGAGGAAATACAAGATGTAGCCACAATTCAACTGACCAATGCGCATTTAGTATTTGTTTGCGACCGAGGTATCGAGGTAACTGGATACCAATCAAAAGTTTAACTAGCAAGTGTTGTTGGGATATGTAACCAACAAAATGGCGCCGGGTTCAAGTTGTAGTTTCACTTTAAAAATGGCCGTTGTTTCATATCCATGAACGCCGAAATATGATCAAAACTAATAAGCTTCTAAGGCTGAAAGCGAAAACAGGCCGACTTGTTGATGTTGTGCGGGAACACTATCTGCGGAAAGATGTTCCTTGCCACAGTGAAGTTTGTGCAGTTTGCGAACAAGGTAAGTAAGCGTTTGCTAGCAATGGAAGCTACAGCCAATCTTTGGAAGTTGTTATCTTAGTTACAGCATACTATAGTTCAGTATCACACACTTTAATTTATTTTGTTATTTAGGCAACGGAACTTTGCTTTGTAAATCACTGACTCATTCCATTGTTCCTGATTGCCAGGTACAGTAAGTTGAATTTGTTTACCGCACTTTGACCGATCTTGGCCCAAGGGGTCCGTGTGTCATTCGTCCGTTCAATTTTCTTTTGAAATTAAAAATTGATGTGAATTTTTTGATTTTCGTTATTTTTATTATAAAAAATACGAAAGTGCCAAATCGAAAACTTTTGACTTTTTTTCCTTTTGATAGAATATTGAAACATATCTTATATTTTTAATTTAATCTTGTCAAAAATAAAGAGAAAAATGAAACAGAGCGGCAATTTTGCTTTTCCGACAATGTTGCAGTCTGTGGCATGGCTTAGTTTTTCTGTTTTTCTGGCAGTGTAATAATTGAAAATTGATTGCAATTCTCAATTTTGTTTTTCAGCCAAAACACTCAAAATAGTGGATAGAAGTACCCAAGAGGGAGGGGGAGGGGTCCATTTGCATGGTAATTTTTGCCCCCAGCACCCTATCCCCATGGTCAGGTCTGCTTCCTTGCTTTAAGGGTTGGGAATGAAGTGAGAGTTTAGCTTCTCTTCATGGTCTTTCATGACGTTTTGGAGTGTCTTCCTCAGTTCTGTCCATTACAGCGAGAAGTCAGTCTTCTTAGCTAAGAAGTTAAAAAGATCTTAGACTTCGTATTGGAGCATATTGGTGCTGGTAATGTAGCCATATCGACTTTTTCACCATACTGTAAAATGTGGTTGGAAGGAAGGTGAGAGAGAGGGAGGCAGTAAGTTTCTGATACCATCCCCTCCCCAATGGCCTGCCTGGAGTCTGCGAAGGAGGTCCGTTCACCAACATCACGGCAAGCAATAAAACCTTTCGATTTGACTAGGGATGGAAAAGTGCTTAAATTATGAATAGCAATGGGGGATATGACAGTTTCAAGGCTTTGTCAAGCTTTTCAGGCAAGTACACATTGTATTTACATTGGAGTCTTGCAAAATCACCCAATGTCATGACTGCAATAATGCAGGATTAATTAATCTTAACCAAAATTTAGACAGTGGTTAACTGTAGTTACCCTGCAAGCAGTTGTGTTGGGGGTGAAATCTTCAACACTGAAAACAGCAAATGAGGAAAATTGTATTTCTTAAGTGGAAATGAACTTTTTTTACTTAAGGGATGAGTTTGGAGACATGATGTACTGGCTGACTGACTCAGGACAATTTAATGTCTTGCATTTAGATGATGGATCTTCTCTTCTTGTCATGGGGGAAGATTTTACAAATTTGCCATCAAACATCCCATAGATAGGTGGACAACATATACAGGGCAATTAAGTCATTTGTTAACTTATGGTGGCTCTCTTACTGGCTCTCAAGCAAGTTCTTCAAGGACACCACTTTTCGGTAATGCAAGACAAAAAGGTGGTGCTCTTGCGAAGATTATTCATGCAGAAATAACACATAAGAATGTGAAGGGACCTCCTATGTTCCAAGAGCTAGTGGCAGATACATTTTGGAAGAAACCGCTCATGTAATTGATGTTCAGTCCAAGGCAAGAGATACATTCAACAATTCACCTCTAGTGTTCGTGATCATGCTTGAACAAACACTAAAAACTGATTGAGCTGTTCACTATGTTTTGTTAGAAAGGGAATTTCTGCAAGAAAACATGTTGACCAAAATAAAGATTCTGATGCTGTTACGTACGCATTCAGTGTTTAATTCCTTTCAGTACTGTTAATTATCAGAATCAATGCTTAAAGGTATAATAAAACAAAAAAGGTATAATAAAACAAAAAAGGTATAATAAAAAGGTATAATTTTAATTTTATAATATAATTTAATTAAAGGTATAATAAAATATCTCACATAAGAACAAGCAAGAACAAGCAAGTACAACATTTGTTGATATGCCTTCTTTTTAACATATTTTATTGTCTTATCATGAGTGAATGTCATTTTTAGTTTGCTTACTTTATAGCACTGAGCTAAAAAGGCCAAGAACACATTTACTTTTAGTTATGAGTGGATATTCCTTTACCAGATAAGTCAATCAATGCACTTGTACATGAAGCACTTCTGTAAATGTTTTCATAGGTCCAGCATCAAGGAGGGAGAAAACTTCAATCTCAACTAAAAGACATTGTGAACAATAACTGGCAGCAGAGCACCATATTCAGTAATGAGTTCTGTGATAGGGCTTATTTTGCCAGGGAACCCAGGGAGTCTTTGGAAGAGTGGCAGTGGAGGTGAAGCTCTGTTGAGGACATAGACTGATTTAAAATATGTGACCATTTATTTATTTTTTTCACTAAAGATGAAAAGTATGGTCAATTATTAGAAATGTTTTTAAATATAATTGGCTTTAATACTGGCCAACTATTCCATGATAGATTAATGTGTCTGCACACCTCAGTGAATAACCCTTTGAGTCCAAACATTGGCATCTAATTTCTCTTAACAATATTATTGCCTGATCAAATGTACAGTTTATGAGAATGAATGAAATGATCACCAAAGATGAAATGTCTTGATGTTTGAATAAATTCTCTCAATCAGTTAAATAAAAAACAAATGAAGCACAGTGATGAGAATATACATGTTGATATTGGGGGTTAAAGGGATAAAGTGAGTGGCCTATTGGTGTGCAGTTGCTAACAAACAGAAATGTCTCTTCTGTGTTTTACATGATAGCTGATCAACTATGCATATCATGCCATCGAAACCTCAAGCTTTAATCCCATTGTTTCTGTAGAAATGTCTTTCCTTACCAAGGGTTGTTTCTTGCAAGGATGTCTCAATGTCAACAAACATTTTGCAGAAGATAAGGCATTTGTTCAAAAGTGAGGGTATGCTATGTTTCCTCTGTTGTAAATCTATGATATCATAACATTTAAATGCAGCTTATTCCAGTGCATGAAGTTAGGGTTTGCACTAAACAAACTTGAATACCAAAAGAGGAAGGACTGAAGTCCTTGTAACATAATGCTTACCTTGAATTAAAATAAAGTTTACAATTTCTCATTTCAAACTGTTACACATACATTTGTACATATGCTATATTTATTCAGATATAAGCTGATCTTGGTAAGAAGTTCAGACCCTCAGTGCTTGGAATCAACCTAACCAGCATGAAAAATAAAATCAAAACACCAAGGCTATTTTGCAAATGAATCGATTTCATTACATTATTGTTTAACAGTGATTTTCTTCATTCTTAGCAAGGGTATGTCAGATAGTAAGGACTTGCTAGACTCTGATGTGCTCATCACTGGCATGGTGAATAGGTGAGCAAGTGTTTGCAAACCTGCAGTAACTGTCAATCATTGGTCAATATTAGACTAATATTGACAAAAGTGCCACAAAATTTTGACTGAGGCTTCACATAATGCCTTGAAAATCTTGAAATGGAGACAGTTGCAGAAAAGAAAGAAGATATTAGAAATGTCTGATAACATTCTGTGTTAGAAATAAATGGGACTTGATAATGGACATGTATGTTTCTTTGCTGCCCTGCATCCAACCTCATAAACTAGACTCAGTAAACAATTGCCTTAAACCAAATGAAAAAGAAAACTTTGCAAAGAAAAGTCTGACTCATCCGTGAGGCTCAAGAATAGGAATGATATCAACTTGAAGACCCTATTCTCTGGAACTTCCCTGAACATTATTTCGGGCTTTTGATTGATTACTCTTACAGTACAGTTATATTTTTTCATTGCAACCTTAAAAGTTTGAATTTACTACAATTTACAATTATTACATACTTTATGTATTTTAATACACCTGTTGATGCAACCCAGTGGGTTTGTACTAACAAAAAAATGTCAACTCAAAGTGCTTCAGTCTATTTTTACAGTATTTAGTTTACTTGTATTGAATTCCCGTGAGTGACCAAGAAAGATTTTATTTCTCCTTAAAATATCAATACAATACCAAGCCGCAGCATTCTCAAGACCGAGGTCACAGTTTTTTACCATACGGACCGACACTAAGCCGGTAAATTACATATTTATTTTTTTAAGACTTGACGAGATTCCTTCCTAAAGAACCAGAATGGTCTAGGGCTGTAAATACGGCAAGATCTTCCATAAACTGAACAATTTTTGAGCGAGTAAATGGTAGTTTAAATAGAGGTGATGCAAATTAAAGAGAGATGCCTCACCGAAACATTTTCATATGCGTAAGGATAGAGGTGATTTAAAAGGCTTCCAAACAAACTTTGAAACATTATTTTTACAAGTATCTGTCACAATCTGACACCTGTCAATTAGAGAGCGCGCAAGAAAAAAAAAAGCGCAAGAACATTTGAAAAACCACGGAACTAGTTTGGCAAGGACTGTCACGACAATGTTTTCTTCAAAAACATTCAATGATCTAACGGAAAGTATTATTCACTCTCATCGACGATTCATTCATGTACGAAGATGTACCTCTGTTCATTAAGTAAACGGCGAGGAAAGTAATTGTGAGTAAATCAAATTTTTTATTTTGAAGTTGTGAGAGTTTGCTCATTTGTTTGCTGCAATAGCGTTTGTAACTCTGGTGTTTCCTCTACAAAAACTAAATTCGAATGGTACACTCCAACGAGACACAAGGCGATTTATTGGGGCATTTTCTCGATAAATCCCTTCAGTTTCTGTAGTGCAATTTACGGTACAAATGTCCAAATTGAACGCACTCGGAAAGACTCACCGAGGGCGTATATTTGTTGTAGAACTGAATTTAAAACTTCGCTCGCTCTTTCACTACGAACAAATTGTTTGAGAAAATTCAGATATTAAATGAATAACAGTTCCATCGTTCATTTTAACTGTAACCAAATACCTCACGTTTTAACTTTCTAAGTACTTTTTGCGAACGATTAAAATTAATTGCAGCCGGTTTTAGGCCGCTTGTCAACCAACGTAATGAAACTACCGCCTAAACAAAGTCATTCTGAAACCCATATTTTTCTGTCAACCAAAGTGATATGAGAGAGAGAAAAGAGAGGATTCATAAGTTATTTTATTGAGGTAGTAACCGACGTGATTTGTTAAAAATACTGCCCAGCCGGAAAAACCAGATGTTTATGAGAAATGGCAACGAAATTTGGGATGTACTCGGCGATTCACGAAAGCGTAACCGTGGCCCGTGGGCAGAGATAGGAAAATACTGACTGGGTAAAGAACCAATCAGATTGCAGGATTTTTTACCGTGCCCTCTAAAAATGAAAGCAGTGAGTTTTTCCTCTCAGTTATCCATTGTTTAAAGACTCAAGCGAACAACTGCACATGAGATGAAACCTGCGTTTTTCTACGTTCAAAGTGAGTGAATATAAGAAACTTCATGAGGGACGTGCTTCAGGTTATTTCAGTATAAGTTATGGTGTTCGTGATGCGAAATGACAAGGAAAATCTCCCTTCCAGGGAAACGCAAAGGAAAACATATCAGTCTGTCCGTGAAAACGCTGTATCGAGTATATCAAAGCTTCTTACTCTTATTCATTGACTCTTTCTGAAGACACCTGTTTGAAGATTTTTGTAAGCGGCACAAAGTTCACAGGAAATTGATAGGCGCAGAAGTTGGACCTTACACTGGTAACAATGGCGGGCTTAACGACTCACATACGCGGCGTGTCAAGTGTCAAGTGTATCATTTTCCACTTCCGGTCTGAAATTATTTACCTCCTCTATTTTAAGTTAAGATCTCTCTGTCGAGACAGAATTAAAACACTTAAATAAAAATGCTTTAACTCTAAAATCTTTCGCAGAGTTCATGACCAAATGGTGGAAATCGCTATTATGTTTCTATTGAAAGTAAAACCACGAACCTTGACTGACTGGGAAGAATCATGCAATTATAATAGATTACCGTTGTGTTGCAATTGATGGCCTTGGTTTTGAGTGGTCAAATTCATCTGAGGCTACGCCTTTTGATTCACTCTCAATAGGGCCAGATAACTACTACATCACCTCGAACAAAAAATCACCATAAGTTTATTAAATTTCTATTAGATAATTCAATAAAAAGTGCCATCGCATCATATGTCTAGAAGATTCAGCTACGGCATAGTACAAATGCTATTCATCCAACATATCTAGGAAAAGAAAGGCATTACACTGTTTTCATTTTCATTTTTTCAACTAAGAGAACACTAATGCCATGATGATAGGGTTTCAACTCTTCCGAAGTAAAGATTTGGAAGCGAGCAGACGACCCACTGTTCCAGCGGATTTTCGTCTTTGAATCGACTGAACTGAATGGCCTCTTGTTTCTTTTTCAAGGCCTCCAGGTTTGTTTGACAGGATGACTTCTGCCAGTAAAGGCTCGTCTCATTGTCGTGAAGAAGACTGTAAAAAGAGATAAAACATACTTACGGCTCGAAATGATTTTTTTCTGATTTGCCTCATTTGAGAGCACTAGCTTTCGTTCTCCCCCCATCCCCTCCATACTTGCCGATCTCCAAACACTCTATGCACTGACCGAGGACTATTATAGAGTCTTCTGATTATTTGAGAACTCACATTTTTTGTGTGTGTGTGAAGAACTGAAACTTCTGTATTTAACTTTTTAATAACGCCATAGTGTACGGTTATTAAACAGCAATTCAATTACCGGTAGTTGTCATCCAGAAAGTCACATCTATTTTCTGTAACATTCAGAGCAACTTGCTCAAAGAAATGTTTTCGCTCCAAAGCTTCAATTTCTTTCATCATTTCAGTGGCTGCTCGATATTTCTGTGTTCCAGGCCCTATGTTAGGGGCGATGCGTGACCTTTGAAAGGCCTCAAGTAATCTAAATAAAATGTCATAAGAGAACGAACAGGAATAATTGGCCCACACAAGTAATGAACAATAACGGTCAATTGTACTAACAAGTAGTAATTTTAGGTTTACAATTTAAAACTTTGAAGAAAAGAAAAAGCTAAGAAAAGGTCTTAGATAGAGCAAATTATTCACCTTCTTTGCGTCTTACAAGAGCTGGAGATACTGGGTAACCACCCGAATACTAAGTCCCTCTCTATTTGTCGGAACAATCCAGATGAAGCCCTCCTAGCCAAAGACATTTACATAACTAGTGCATATGGACTTTTTACTCGGATCTTACGATTAGGCATAAAAAGGAGAAAGTCAAGGAAAAGAAGTTTAATCGAGAAAGAATCAGCCACCCCAGCAAACATTACTCGAATGAACTTACTCATTTTCACACTGAAGTTGTTCCTGAAGACGAGCTATGTGTTCTTGCGCTTCTTTCAGTTGCTCTCTTAGTTTCCTAATCGACGAAAAAAAGGTTTCAAATTTGAACAAGATAGACGATGTGATCAATGTCACCTGGAAAACAAAATCGAGTCGTAAGAGCATCTGAATATTTTCCTCCAAGCGGAAGAGAAATGTTTACTCGCCTCTTATATTCTTTCTTATCTCTTCTCTTGGATTTGTATGAACTTAGAGCAGAACCCATTTTTAGCTTTTGCTAGGTTATATCTGAACAAAGTTTACGCGCTTTGAAATATAAGTCTCTCTGGACAGTATTTTCATGCGAATGGAGTTTTCCAGATTGTGACATAACAAAAGAGAGTCAAGCGCGCGCGAGATTTGATAAACCAATCAGGTTTCATTTTAGGCACTGCCATTTAAGCGCGAGCGAATTTATAATAACGGCAATATTTTTCGTTAGCTTTGTGTCGAAATGACCACCCTTGATTGATGTTAAATAAGTAAAAAAGAGTTATATCTTTCAAGCCTCTGGTCCGCTTACTTTGGCGACAAGCTCGAAAATTACGAGAAGTGCTCTAAGTAAAAAAAGATTAGGGCCTTTCATTGCTAACTGAAAAAAAAAAAAAAAACACGATAACGAAAATAATAGGTTTAAAAGTACGTTTCAACTACCAGGTATATCAAAATATGAACTAGGTAACATTTAATATTGAAGCACAAGTGCACAGCACAGTAGAACTTCACAGACTAAGTATCAAATGAGGTCTACGGTAATGGAGGGTTGCCCATGCCTCAGACGATTTATCCACTTGTTAAGAGCCTTTTAATGGATCTCAACTACATTATTACAAGCAACGACTTTGCAAAATTATTTTCATCGGAACCTGTCGGTTCCAACAAAATGCCAACTTATATTAAAGCGAGGAAATACAAGATGTAACCACAATTCAACTGACCAATGCGCGAGCGAGATATCGAGGTAACTGGATACCAATCAAAAGTTAAAACTAGCAAGTGCTGTTGGGATATGTAATCAACAAAATGGCGCCGGGTTCAAGTTATAGTATCACCACAGGCGGCCCAAGCTCCAGCTGTGAGATGATCATCTTACGCAATAACGGTCATGGCGGAATTATAAGAGTTTGTATAGGAATATTTACGAGCGCTCTAAGGAATAAAAAATACGTCAAATTCTCAAAAAAAATACCTCACCTCGCTTCCACAGCGTATTGCTTGTTATCTGACCGCTTACTTTGATGAAAAGAGCCCATTTGAGCGAGTTGTTCATTTCGAGGTTTTCAACGTACATAAGAAAAGCCCAAGGCTGAACACTCCATTTCCGAACGCCTGATCCGAGAAGCGAAAAATCCAAGCTCAAAATGATCGGGCGCCCACAAATCCAACGCAGAATCCAAGCAAATATACTTTAGTTTCATTAAAATTCACTAAAAACTCAATCTTCCCCGTGCAACCGACACTAAGCCGCAGTTTGCTTCAAAAATTTCCGGTTTAGAGGTTTCTAACAGCCCGCGGCCACATCAACCTTGACACACGACCGTTGAAACCCTACCTCCTTTTCAAACTGAGCCTCGCCGGGGACCACACCGTCAGTTATCATCAATAAATTGTTTTAGAACCACGGGTCCCCTCAGGTCGAAATCGATCGAGAGGCTATTGTTTTATCCTAAAGTAAAAGAAATAAGTATCTACAAGGGCACTTGGCAAGAAACACATAGACGAAGTGCGAAATTTAGCGTAGCCGGCAACTAAGAATAAAGTGAATACTTACATGGCTGATTGACTTGTTCTATTGTGACTCACATTCTCGTGCGGACGAAGCGAAATAACAGTTGTCTTGTTGCCAGAATTAAAATAGGTATGTCCAGATAGAACTAAATTGAATACTGGTATAAATCCTTGCCAGGTTTTCCTCTGACTACGAAAATAATCACTCATTTGTAAACATTTCCGAAGGCGAATTCGATTGGCCGATCGAAACAATAGCCTCTTGATCGATTTCGACCGGAGGGGACCCGTGGTTCTAAAACAATTTATTGATAATAACTGACGGTGTGGTCCCCGGCGAGGCTCAGTTTGAGAAGGAGGTAGGGTTTCAACGGTCGTGTGTCAAGGTTGATGTGGTCGCGGGCTGTTAGAAACCTCTAAACTAGAAATTTTTGAAGCAAACTGCGGCTTAGCGTCGGTTGCACGGGGAAGATTGAGTTTGTAGTGAATTGAAATGAAACTACAGTATATGTGCTTGGATTCTGCGTTGGATTTGTGGCCGCCCGGTCATTTTGAGTTTGGATTTTTCGCTTCTCGGATCAGGCGTTCGGAAATGGAGTGTTCAGCCTTGGGCTTTTCTTATGTACGTTGAAAACCTCGAAATGAACAACTCGCTCAAATGGGCTCTTTTCATCAAAGTAAGCGGTCAGATAACAAGCAATATTCTGTGGAAGCGAGGTGAGGTATTTTTTTGAGAATTTGACGTATTTTTTTATTCCTTAGAGCGCTCGTAAATATTCCTATACAAACTCTTATAATTCCGCCATGACCGTTATTGCGTAAGATGATCATCTCACAGCTGGAGCTTGGGCCGCCTGTGGTATCACTTGAAAAATGGCCGTTGTTTCATATCCACGAACGCCGAAATATGACCAAAACGAATAAGCTTCTAAGGCTGAAAGCGAAAACAGGCCGACTTGTTGATGTTGTGCGGGAACACTATCTGCGGAAAGATGTTCCTTGCCACAGTGAAGTTTGTGCAGTTTGCGAACAAGGTAAGTAAGCGTTTGCAAGCAATGGAAGCTACAGCCAATCTTTGGAAGTTGTTATCTTAGTTACAGCATACTATAGTTCATTATCACACACTTAAATTTATTTCGTTTTTTAGGCAACGGAACTTTGCTTTGTAAATCACTGACTCATTACGTTGTTCCTGATTGCCAGGTAAGTTGAATTTGTTTACCGCACTTTGACCGATCTTGGCCCAAGGGGTCCGTGTGTCATTCGTCCGTTCAATTTTCTTTTAAAATTAAAAATTGAAAATTGATGTCAACTTTTTGATTTTCGTTATTTTTTATCATAAAAATACGAAAGTGCCAAAAATTTTTGACTTTTTTCTCTTTTGATAGAATATTGAAACGCAACTTATACTTTTAATTTAATCCTGTCAACAATAAAGAGAAAAATGAAACAGAGCGGCAATTTTGCTTTTCCGACAATGTTACAGTCTATGGCATGGCTTAGTTTTTCTGTTTTCAGTGGAAGTGTAAAAATTGAAAATTGATTGCAATTTTCAATTTTTTTTTAGTCAAAACACTCAAAATAGTTGACAGAACTACCCAAGAGGGAGGGGGAGGGGTCCATTCACGCGGTAATTTGTGCCCCCAGCACTCTCTCCCCATGGTCAGGTCCGCTTCCTTGCTTAAAGGGTTGGGAATGAAGTGAGAGTTTAGCTGTCTCTTCATGGTCTTTCATGACATTTTGGAGTGTCTTCCTCAGTTCTTTCCATTACAGCGAGCAGCCAGTCTTTGGATGTTAGCTAAGAAGTTAAAAAGATCTTAGATTTTGTATTGGAGTATACTGGTGTGGTAATGTAGCCATATTGACTTTTCCACCATACTGTAAAATGTGGTTGGAAGGAAGGTGACGGAGAGGGAGTTTCTGATACCACCCCCTCCCCATTGGCCTGCCAGAAGTCTGCAAAGGATGTGAAAGTTTCGTGTTCTTTTGGACTGTCTGTTCACTGACATCATGGCAAGCAATAAAACTTTTGATTTGACTAGGGACGGAAAAGTGCTTAAATTACAAATAGGAATGGGGGATATGACAGTTTCGAGGCTTTCTCAAGCTTTTCAGGCAAGTACACATTGTATCTACATTTGGAGTCTTGCAAAATCGCCCAATGACATGACTGCAACAATGCAAGATTATGTAATCTTAAAAAAAATTGAGATTGTGTTTAACTGTGGTTACCCTGCGAGCAGTTGTGTTGGAGGTGAAATCTTCAACACTGAAAACAGCAAATGAGGAAAATTGTATTTCTCAGGTGGAAATGAAATTGTTGTACTTAAGGGATGAGTTTGGAGACATGATGTACTGGCTGACTGACTCAGGGCGATTTAATGTCTTGCATTTAGATGATGGATCTTCTCTTCTTTTTATGGGGGAAGATGTGACAAATTTGCCATAAAACATCCCACAGATAGATGGACAACATATACAGGGCAATTAAGTCATTTGTTAACTTATGGTGGCTCTTTTACTGGCTCTCAAGCAAGTTCTTCAAGGACACCACTTTTCGGTAATGCAAGACAAAAAGGTGGTGCTCTTGCGAAGATTATTCATGTGGAAATAACACACAAGAATGTGAAGGGACCTCCTACATTCCAACAACTAGTGGCAGATATATTTTGGAAAAACCGCTAATGTAATTTATGTTCAGTCAAGGCAAGAGATACATTCCACAATTCACCTCTAGAGTTGGTGATTGTGCTTGAACAAACACTGAAAACTGATTGAGCTGTTCACTATGTTTTGTTAGAAAGGGAATTTCTGCAATGAAACATGTTCACCAAAATAAAGATTCTGATGCTGTTATATACGCATTCAATGTTTAATTCCTTTCAGTACTGTTAATAAATCATGTTAAGAGTTGAAGACATTTGCTGACTGCTCATTTATTATTGACAGCTTGGAAAAAAATGAGCCTTGACAAAAGCCTACAAATTCATGCTAAAAGCTGAAAAAGTATTTTGAACTCTGAAGGGTGCTCATATAGACTGCTATACAAACAAGGAAATGAAGGTAGAAAGAAGAAGAAAATAGTGAACAACAAGCACTTAAGTCTAATAAACTTATACTTATCTGAGCAACGATGTCCTGAGTGCACTGGTGAAGTTCATCATTTGACAGGCGGTTGTGTAAATTTATCTAGCTTTCTTAAAACAAAACCTCCTAACTGACCTAAAGCCTTTCTTGTCGGGAAATCTTTCTTTTGGCAATAAGCTCACCTTGGAGAATGTTTTTCTTTGAGTTATTAAATACGAATTTCCCACTTCCTCCGTTCCAGAGAAGTGTAGCGTGGGAGGGGAGGGAGGGGGACAGGGGCAAAAAAAATTACTGTGCAAATGGACCCCTCTCCCTCCCCCTTGGGTAGTTCTGTTAATGATTTTGAGTGTCTTGGTAGAAAAACAAAAATAGAAAATTGATTGCAATTTTCAATTTTCAATTTTTCTAAGC